ATGTAAGAGTGGCAGTAGTAATACTATTTCTATACTGTGTGGCAAGAAATAATTGTGGAATAACTGTTAGGGTTCAGCCTAGTGTGTGCTTTGTAAGTTCTGAGCGCTTACTTCTGGCTTTGTGTAGTCCGACGGTGACATTAGCTGCGCTTTGTGTTATATTACGCTTTGGTTCTGTGTGGTAGGGTTATTTTTTTTGTTGCACTGGGTTGGGCCTCTCAGTGGTACTTTATCTTTGCGTAAAGTTATTGTGGCAATTTCATTATGGAGTTCGACCTAGAAAGATTTAGAGAAGTTCCTACAACAGAGCAGCTTTCTCATTGCAACAAGGCACCGCTCATGTCCATTGCGGAGCATTACAGCATTGAAACTGCATCAACTTCTCTTAAGTCACCCTGTTAAGGTGTCTGCTAGTAAGACGGAGGCTGCGCAGTTGCAAACTCGGGATGTTCAATCTGTACGTTTGCAAGAGTTGGAGTTGGAGTTTAAAATCAAACAGCTAGAAATTGATTGATAATTATTACTCTTTAAAACATTTTATTACTTTAGTTATTACTCCATGCCAACAGTAATTACTTACACTAGAGTTCTGCTATTACCCACAAAATTAATAATTTTGTCTTTTTCTTCCCAAATTTGAGACTTACGATGATTAAAGTCAACTTTAAATCAAAGTAATGGAATATTTCCAGCTGCTGAATATGAATGCCCTCTCTTGGCATAATTTAAATTCTAAAATTACAAATGGATTGATGTCATTGACACCACTAAGGTAAAGGAAGTCTCCGGTAAAAAAAAGGCACCGTAGAGAAATGCCAGACTGGTAGAAAATTAATAAAAGAGCGTGTCGCAAAGACGCAGGTGGGTGAAAAAGAAATCCAGGTTCATTATATGAAGAGAGACATCTATAAAGAGAGACTTCGCATTTTTAATTAGAAAGTAGAAATGCAAGGTAGGTCTTCTGTGACATTATTGCTTTTCCTTTACCTTATTTTCTACTGTTGACCTGCTGACAAACCTGAAGTCATGCAATGAATTTTCCTCATTCTTTACTGATAAAACTCATTAGACAGACAAGTTTTTCAGTTCCTCCATATCCGGTATAGATTCTGTATTGCCTTTGCCCACTTATAACTAATGCAATTAGCATGACACAATTTGGTCCTATCAACTACAAAGCCTGGGTAAAAATTGCTTTGATATTCTCCCTGCAGGCATCTTCAAAAATGTTTTTAACTGCACGGCATCAGATCTTCGGCAAAGTCAACACTTTCCTCCTCAAGATTTCCCACAGGCCCTAAAAAAACACAGCTATTAAGTCACTTTTAAAAAGTATAATGTAGTCAACTCTTGAATTAACAATTACAGGCCCCTATTAAACATCCCATTTTCTATGTAAAATCATTGCACACCTTCCGTTGAACAAAGAAAGCGGTTTCGATGTTTTCCCATCAGGATTTTGACCACAGCCCTGAGACTGCTCTTGTTAATTTATTGGATGACATCCACTTGAACTAATTTAACAATTTTGTTTTGGGGCCCAAAGAAAAATAGTTAGTTGAATTTCAAGAGCTATATTAAGATAATTATTAAATCAGCCTACTATTATGTTATGACTACATCAAGAATTAAAGGACTTATGTCTCAGCAGGAGGCTCGACCACTGTAATGCTGTCTTTACAGGTCTCAGGTCTTGAAGATCTAAAACTCAATTTATGACAGCTTTTGGCAGACAGCCACAACACTGATGCATGTGCAAAGCGAAATTTTGTCATTGAAAGGCATTTGTAATAATGTGAGTGCACTTATAAACAACAAAATAGGTCTAGTGTTTGTAGACATCTTAATGCAGAAATGTTACATATTATAGCTTTAAAACCTATTTAAATGTCTTTTTGGACAGTCTTTTTATATTGCCTTGTGTTTCTTTTCTTAATGCCCTTTCTGTCTTATGTAAAGCACTTTGAATTGCCTTGTTGTTGAAAGGTGCTATACAAATAAATTTGTATTGCCCAGACTCCAGCATGAAATAATGTGAGTCAACCAAACAAAAGTGGATTTTAGTCCTCAGGCATTATACAGTACTGCAGAAGATTTGTGTTGTGAAATTACTTTCTCTATTCCAGCAGTAGGAATGGGAGACTAACTCGTGGAGCATGTAATTTAACTGCCTCAGCTGTCATTACTTTGAGTTTGAAAACTTTGATGAACCTTGGATGAAAAGTGAAGTACTTCATAGAGGTCTTTGCTTTTTAAACTGGCTGCTTCACCTACAGTATGTCTTATACGTTTCTTCAGATGCTCACTCACGGCTAACAACATGGAGCCAAAAATATCTGACTTGCCAAACTGGGTCTTGCCACCATGTTATGATAACTCCTTGGATTCCATTAGGAACCAAAACACTCAGGCCAACATAAAATAAGCTCCTTTTTGTGTCTCTGGTGATTTACTAGCCTCACATCTAAAATGTTAACATCTCCCTCATGCCATCAGGCCTCTCATGTACGCTCAAAAGCAGGTGACCTGAGTCCCCCACATGTACTTGAAGTGCGCACTTGTATGAGAAAAACACTGAGGAAAAACATCAGTATTGTGGATTTTACACCCTGGCAGCTGATGAAAGTATTGCAGAGTGTCTTTTATGTGTGTGTAGTGTGTTTTCCACTTATGTATGTGTGTATATATTTGTACATGTGTGCGCACTGGGGAGCACTGCGACAGCGCTTTGGATCAATAAACAGGAACTAGCTTTCATCTGTCGCAGTAGAAAAGATCTCCTACAGGAACGGAGCAGAGAGCAAAGGCCACGTCACTGACCTCCAGTCTGTCCATGGAGCTGCCATCTTAGGAGGACATTTTTTGCAGTATCAACCATTTGCTTGCAATTCCTAAAATGAGCCTTCATGTTCTTTCAAAGAAATGGCAGGGATGACGATTTTTTTTACAAATCATGACAATTTTGCAGCAGTAAAGTAAGGGACTAGACCTCAATTTTAGAGCAGAACAGCTCTAAATGTGTATGCGCCCTGGTGTGTGTGTGTGTGTGTGTGTGTGTGTGTGTGTTTGTGAACGAATTACTATCCTGTAAGCAGTCGGCCCCACATTCAATCTCTGCTGTTGGGTCCAATAACAGCCATTTGTTTGACTGTAGAGTCCTCGAGCAAGCAATCCCCACCTGCTCACCCCCCTCCGGCTGCGCTGGAGTCAGCTAATCTCTAATTTAACACAGAGAGAGTGGAAAAATATGAATACAATATGTGATGTGTGAGCTGGATCTACTCGAAGATGAGCGTGTTGATGTTTTTATGTCAAAATGCCACGTCTTCATCAGCAGTCTCGTGGTTTGGCGTGTTTTGCATTGTCGTTTGTTCTGAAAAGTTGATGATACATCTCATCCAGATTTGTGTCTGTATTGACCGACAAAAGTTTAGACAGACTAAACTTGATGGATACATGTCAGAATCATCATCATCCGTTTAGTGAACAGAATCGAGGAGGCGTATTTGGGAGCCAGACATGTTTCTGCTTTCTGAAGAGGCTACACACAAACTGTGTCACATGAATACTAAAACAAACTCAGACAGAAAGCCACACTCCTGTTTTTCCGAATTTGATCAGCGTACATCCCAAGAAAATGGATTGATTGGGATTCATCCTGAGGGGTGTTTCATTTAAAGATGGCACAGAAAAGTAGGGCTCATTTTTAGAGATGTTCTGATACGAGTTTTCACCTTCTCTTTTCAAACTCTCGATTTGGATAAGGAAAAACACAGAAACATTGTAACACATTACATGGCAAAAAAGGGAAGAAACCTCAGGAAGAGCAACAGAGGAGGGATCCCTCTCCCAGGATAGACATGCAATAGATACTGTGTACAGATTAGACCTCCAGAAAACAACAGTATCAGGAAGACAAGAAACAAACACAGAGGGAGAGAGACAAGAAGACAGACTGAATCTCCTGGAGGACCAAGATCCAAATGGGAGAGAAAATGAGGATAGGGTAGGGGAAGTTCGGCCCCAGCAGTGACCAGCTCTTACATTCCAGTGGTTCAGACTTGTTGTGTTAGTAGGCAACGCTTGTGCAGTACTGAAAAAGTAAGTGTGGTTATAGCCTATTATGTCTTTCATAAATTAAATATAAGTATCCAGGAATCTATAATTTCTCACAAAAAAGAAAGAAAAAAACCTCTGCGCGAACTGGGTGTGAATAGAAATGGTCGGATGTGATGAATGGGATTTAAAGAGACAGCAAATGGTAAAAATGTTGTTTACCATGAGGCTACAGCAATGTGTCAAAGTGTGACTTCCCGGTTAAATAAAAAGGACGCTCCTTTTATTTCCAGAACTGAGACTCATGGTCTTTCCATTCATCAAGTTTTCTTCAGTATCAAAGTAAACCAGTGATAGCTGTCTGTACATTCATGGGTACCACTAAAAAGCTTGGTATATGATATACTTTTTAATGGTGCCAATTTGCCAATAATGTTACAAATACAGACAAAAAAAAATAGGGATGAAGTTGTACAAATAACTCACTGAATCTATGGCAACACTATTGTTCCCGTTGATCTACTAAAGCATTATGGGAACTGTACGTTTTAGGGTGCATCCACAGTATCAGATTTTCACTTTCACTTTAGACTGAAAAAGATTTTAGCTTATGATTTTACACATGCAATAAGTGCAAAAATGTGATAACTAAGTAAAGCACCTGAAAACCAGCTCAAACCTGATTTACAGTGAGTCTAGGAAAACAAGTACTCTTTCTTTTGTCAAACACCTCTCAATATGAAGCATGACAGGGCAACAGGTCGATAAACATAAGCATTTTAAATGCAGTTAAATGTAACTTTATGGGTGCTGGGGTGACAGTTCAAAAAGGCTTCCAGACAATGTGAGTTAAATTTAAATCAAGTGCATAAAAATTAGTTTGCCAGCTTTCTAAGTCGTAAGAATGACTAACACAACATAATAAACACAATAACACCCTGCAATCATTAGATAAAAATCAACATTTATTATAAAAAATAACTGTCAGACATATTGTTTGGTATGGTCATTCACTAGAATTCAACACAGGAACAAGTCAAAGCGTGTGATGTTCCCCAATTCATAGAGCAAATGTGCTCTAAATCAAATTCACACACACACACACACAAAAAGATAAAGAACAATGTGATTGAGCTCAGCTACCATGAGGATATAAAAATAGATAAGGACATAAGGTTCCTTCTCAAACAGGAAATGAAGGAGATGGACTGAGTCGTCTTTCACACATTACGCTCATTATCCATTCCTCTCAGACACCCCCTCCTCCCTCCATCACATGCTGACTTTTTGGAAAAGAGACAGGATCCGTCGGTGTGAAATGAGGTCAGCGATTGCGTCGCTGATGGAAAATCACCTACAGTACCCACCAGACCACGGACGGACACACACACAGACAGGGAGTACATGCACTTTCTCTCTAACACTCAGACACACAGATGTGTTGCTAGAGGGTTGCCATGACAACTCTCTTAAATTCCCAGTCGGTCAGGGCGAGTGTGAGAGTCTGAGTGTGTGAGTGTGTGTGTGTGTGTGTGTGTGTGTGTGTGTGTGTGTGGAAAGTGTAATCGAGTAGAGTCATTTAGGGCTCACAGAGAAAGTCATTTTGTTGCAGTAATGTCCATTTTAAAGACAATTTCAGGACTGTGAGCTCCCAAATAAGCCTGCAGCTAGTAGGCTGTGACACTGTGAGGTTATTTCAGCTATGACTAAACAGTCAGGAAATACTGTGCTCCTCCCATTAATCACCAACACTTTATTCATTTTATGCACTGAGCACTTCTGTGTGAGTTCACAGCAAGGATCCCAAGCAGATTAAACCGATTAGGTGTGATTTAAATGTGAAGTGTTGCATCATAAATTTTGATTTAAACTGATCCAATGATGAAATATTCTCATCACAAAAACATTACCGTGAGGGAAACCCAGTCAGTTTGATCTACGCTTTCATAAACAAGTAACTAGAAGAAACCAAATGGATATTGCAACATGCACCCCTTAGTAATTTATCTGTATTGGAGTAATGTAGGAGTAATAGATTTGGGCACAAATAAGCTCTGCAATACTAAGCTCTGCAATACTAATTACCTCTTTATATAATAGTTTTCCTTGTTAGTGGCGGGGTCCGACATTCATGCGCTGGCTTCGAATTCCCTCCACACGCACAGGAGATTCACATGAAATCATGTATGTAATTAAGCGTCACTGTTTACTCTCCTTGCTCTGTATCAAAGCTGCTAATGCGAACCAAACATTTCCTACTGCTGCCGCGTTACGTTAAAAGTGTATAACTGGCTTTTATTGGTAAGTAGTTACAGGAAAGGCAGTGGAAATTACCATGGAGGTTAGTGCCGACACTCTTCATCAAAAATGCTACAAAACAAGACAACAATCATTTACAATTACAGTGAATCAGTTTTAGTTCTTAAGGATTCTAACTTTAAAATCAGTTTGTCAAAAACAAGATTGTCTTTTGCTATAATTAATATGGATTAAGTATAATCTCTCAACATATATTCAAACACATATGTAAAACAGTATACTAGCTAGGCAGTAAAAAACGCTTCTCAGAACAGTCATCTTTTGCCTGTAGGGGCAGTGTAAAGGGCTATAAACAGACAACTCAAAGTCTGATCAGAGGTCAGCAGTTAGCTCCACATCTTCCAGGGGACAACAATGTACCACGTTGAACATAAAACAAAAACACACACAATATAGTGATTTGAATAGCTTGCATAGGATGGCCAACAAGTCATTAGACTGCAACAACAGCGAACTAGAAATAGCTATTTAGCAACACTAAAGGAGGATTCCACCCTTTTATCCTCACACACTGTTAGATAGCATAAACCTGTGTCTTTTTGTGCAGTCCTGTAGTCATTTTAGGATAAAGAACTGGACCTTAGTGGTTTCCTACATTTCCCATGATGCTTTTCAACAGCCTAAAGAACATTCCTTGTGAAATTATCACACAAGCCCTGTACCTATCAAGAACACGCTTACCTACAGAAACAGGAAGAAAACTGTAGCACCAAGCTACTAAATGCACAGTGAAACCACATCAATTATTTTGAGCTACTTTGAATGAGGTTTCAGTGTTTGAGGTGGAATCTTCCTTTACCATTACAGTTTGTATACATTTAAAGTTACACCGACAACATTTGCCTTTACCATAGCGTAACTCTTAACATTTACACTGGACAGACAGACCGAGTGTCAGCCTCCTTCTGATACAGGAGGACTGTGCAGTAAAGGTTGTGCTTCCCCACAAAAGAACCACTAGTTTTAGAACACACTGAACGATGTTTGTGCGCCCCTTTTAGGGCAGAGATGCTCCTAGGAAAACATTCAGAAGAGAGAGAAAATAAACTCAATTCAATTTTATCATAAGTAGCCCCTGATCCGATCCAAGTCCATTTAATATTGAGTATCTGTACCGATCCGATACATGCCCATTGCACACTTTGAGTACATTAAAATGATTCAAATCAATCCGATATAGCTCTGCATTGCATTAGCAAAAAAAATGCCTGCATCGAAGCTTAATGTTTTTTTTTATACAATGAAGTATAAAATAACAAACCCTCTGTAATCTTCTTGTTCTTGTCGCTGTCTGGAGGGAGTTTCTCTCTCCAGTGTTTGGTGCTTCAGTGCAGCTTTTACCTGAGTTACCTGAATGAACTGCATTTTGCTGAGGGTTTATTTCCGTCGTCTCTACACCTTTTACCCGGATTACATTCATAAGTTACTCTTATTGGTTTTTTGTTCGCAGGACTTCTGTTGCACCTGCAGTGGCGTGTTGAGTGTGCTTGTGTCGGATATCTACCGCTCTCTCACACAGAGCAGGGGAAGAGAAACAGCAACAAAGAGCTGAAGATACCAATCAGTTAAGAAATGCCTTGATCGGCGCCGATACCAATCGTTGAGATCGGATCAGGACATTCCTAATAATAATATTCTGTACACTTTATAATGTGTGGTTGGCAGGTAAATGCATCTTTGTTGGTTTAAGAAGTTGTGTCTAAGAATAGGGGCTCAAAACTGTATAAATAAAAAAATACATTTCCCTGATTTTCCCTCCATTGGCCCTCAGGCCTGCAGGAGCTTCCTGAGTTCCTCGTCCATGCCTCGCGCTCTCAGCTGCTCCAGGCTGTAGTAGCGATGGATGACATCGTCGGCAGTCACTACCACCACCCTCACGCCGTGGGTGTCCTCGCCGAGTTGGCAACCGATGGCCGAGCTCACCACCATGTCCAGGCCGCCGTGGCAACCGCCGGCGTTTCGGTGATAATGGCCGGAAAAGACCGCTTTCACCCCTGTGGGGATGAGAGAGGTGTTAGAGTGCTGAATTTGGTCCGTCACTAAAGAAACTACAGAAATCCAAGCATTGTGTTTTTTGTGGCCTGCTGGCATCACTGATCTAAACTGGGATGTTACTATGAATAGGCATCATCCTCTTTAGAGTGTCATCTAATTCACATCACGTCTGACCCTTCTGTCCCTCATGTATCCCAAATAAAGGTGCAGTGCTTACAATTATTAACACATCATAGCACAAAAAGACTGAAATATGTCAACAGTCAGTATCAGCTTCACATAACTTACTTTTCAGCCCCTATAGTGTGTTTTTAAACAAGAACCTGCTGCTCAGTTTCTTGGTTTCTGAATATATTTACTTATACAGTAGCTCACTTAGCATACACGTATGTCAGCAGTGTACTCTTATAATGTAAAATTGATTAATTCCCTATATATTACCATCTATCGGAACTGGTAAAAGAGAAAGGAAAGGAAAGATAAAGCAGGGAAGTGAAAGAAAGAAAGAAAGAAAGAAAGAAAGAGAACATACTCAGGAGCTTTCCACTTGTAGCATATTTTGTAAACCTGGGGAACTTTCATTAAGGGAGCCACGATTTTCAATTTATTTTCAATTACAAACGACATCATTAATAGAACGGTGAGGGTGAAGCTCGGCCCTACGGCAGTGATGCTGTGTCACTACAGTTGAAATGACTGCACACTTAAAATGGCACGCCAGAGCAGGCATCACTTTGAATGAGAGCTGCAAAATGAGGTGGTTTTGCTGTGTGAGGGTAGTATTTGTCTGACTGATGTGTGAATTTATTTATTTAGTTTTGCAAGAACCAATTTGAATTTCTGTTAAGTTGCTGTCATTTTGGTGCCAATTTTCCATTCAACAAGGGGTTGACCTAAGGTTAGGATTTGGATTAAAGAAAAAGATTTGATTTGTGGGCTTTGTTGGGGTAAGGTGATGGTGGTCAGGTGTTTTATACTCCAAGATTCAAGAGTGATACATGTGTGTTTCCTAATGTCTACCTGTGTGGTGCATGTTCAAATATGTAGGTGAGGAGATTTAATTTTAAAACGAGTTTATTGCAGGCTGTTGGCAGAGAAAATAAGCTGCTCTATTTTCTAACAGCGTTTCGTTTCCATGGAGGGAAGTCTCGCTGCTTGCTGCCTCGTCTCCAGAGAGACACCCAGCCGGAAAAAAAATAATAATGAAAACTGGCAACAAATGAGGATAAATCGCAGGATGTGCATGAGAAAGACACCGGTCTGTCCCAGAAATCTGCACAACAAAGACAAGGAGGAGCCGTCTGAAAAACCTCTTATGTATCCACTGCTGATACTACTTCGATGTTAGCACCGTGAAATTGCCCTGAATCATCAAGTCCGCCACTCCGCATAATGGAACAGCAGCAGCATACAAATGTGACCTAAATTTATATTAATATTGAGAGTTATGTGAGGACAGCGGTTGCACATGCTGGACCATTTAATAATTAATCTGCCATAGATGGAAATTGATGATTTAGGCCTGTATGTGTGTATGCTTGGGCTAAATTCATATACAATCAAAACCTGCAGCAGCACTAGGTGAAGACCACCCTTCAGTGACTTGTGAGTGGGCTGCAGCTATATCATTATGGGCCACACATTTCAATCTGTATATATGTGTGTGTGGCCAGGAATAATAGCCTCGCATATAACCTTGCCACTGCTGGTAACCTGGCCAGGGGTCAACACTGTCTAGTCGCGAATGTGTACACAGTGTCTGAAATTAACTTTTTGACTCACCGGCAAAGGTTGGTAGATGAAAAAAATACACCGTCCAAGCATATCTTTTAAAAATGAATAGCCTTTTGTGTCAGATATATATTAGTTTCAGTACATTTCATTGCGATAATACAGTCAACTAGGAGCGCCTTATGACAGCCAGTTTCATGGCACTGTTAAGATGTGCAAGTGAGTGACACCAAAATGTGGACTCCCAGCATAGTTTTTTTTTATTATTATTTTGGTACAAACATTTACCCGGCAGTGTAACAGGGAGATTTACTCGCCAAACGGAGGGTGTTAATTTTGGATCCTGTTTGCACATGTGTTTTTGTGTCCGTGTGTCCTTGATATTGTTTCTAGATGAGGGCCAAAAGGTCAGAATTGCCCTCCATGCCTCTAGGCCAAAGCCTGTGCTCATTATTCTCTATGCCCGTGTGTATTGGCGCGTGTGTGTGTGTGTGTGTTTTCTGTGGTGTACTCCTTCTATGCTGACAGACACAAGTGTTCTTATCCGTCCTTCGAGGAATCACACAGCTCGCCTAGAATTATTCAGACCCCTCGAATGAAAACAAAGCGAAGCAGCAACAAAAGTGTGAAGCAGGGAAAATGTCTGATGTGATCACCTGATGACTCAGTTAGCAACGCCGATTGTGAAAATGTTAGATTTGTTACAGTATCCACATGAGGGCTGCGAATTCTTTGTCACCTCAGAGAGATGAGGTTGTGGGAGGAAGACGCTAAGACAGCAATAGTAATAAAGTGATAGACAGGAATTAATCCCGTAATAATAATGACAAAAAAACCTTTTTGAAGTTGAAATGTTTTTTCTGAACTTCCTCTAAAACTCCCAAAGATGCCATGATTAATCATGCCGCAATATAAAAATGTGTGGGAGTGTGTAAGTATGCATATGTATACATGTGTCAGTGTGTCTGGGTTCTGTAGCTATGTCTCTGATGAATATCCCACACACTGAGCTTCCCCCATATGTATGTGACATATTTGTGATGCACTCATGTAGAGGAGTTGTGCTGTATGTTTGTTGGTCAGAGCTTTAAAAATTAAAGAAGTCACAAAAGACCCACGGTGCAGTAATTTTAGAACAGCCACAGTAGGAATTACTGTTAGCATTAAAGGAATAGATCAGCATTTTGGAAAATATCTTTTCTTTTAATCCACTTTCCTGCTGAGTTAGATGAGAAGTGTGATAGAAGAATCCATCAGCCGGTTAGCTTATCCTAGCATGCGAGTGTAAAAACAAAAAATTGTGCTAAATAAACAAGATATAACATGTTAATTTGTGACCTTCAAAGATGCCGGTTGGTGGATAGCAATTGGACTAGCATTTACTGCAACAATATGTAAAGTATAATATTAAGTGTAAATAGTGATATCTGGCTATTTGTATACACTCAGATCTGCACTTCACTGGTATTTTAAAATGTGCTGCCAACCAGAATTAGCTTTTTTTCCCCCACTAATACCATTCAAACACCAGAGTAACAATTTTTATTGTGTTCTATAAGAGATTCACCTTCTAGTTTTCTCCTCCAAGGCACAGGGGTCCTAGGAGAGTTGTGCTTGGCTAACCTGTCTAATGTCTATCAGGCAGAATAGGATCTCTGTTAGGTCGTCACAACACACTAGAGGCTTCCTTTCAAGGTCTTAAATATAGCTGAGAATTGAAGTGGACTGAACCAAAGGACAAATTGTATGTTGTGGAAATTAATCCGCTTGCTCCGCTGGCTTGTTCCACTGGCTTGTTTCACTAGCTCTTATAGTGCAAAACCGATTTCATAGAGACAATTTAGCAAAGGCCTAGTGATAACACCCTGACCTGAATTAATTTGAGCACGTCCCTTTCAGAGAGGCGTCATTACGCAGGCTTTAGAAGTCAAACCACTCTACCTGGGCCCTTCTCTGCTAAAAAAAAACACCCTCTGAGAGAAAAGATGGCCTGTCTGAGAAAGAAAAAGCATTTTCAATCTCCAAAAGATTGTCTGCATGAATAAAAGATAATCAATTGAAAAAAATAAAATAAAGAAGAATAAAGAAAGCTGTTCCCTTTGCAATGCAGTCAGAAGATGAAGCTGACCTCTGAAATTGTCAAGAAAATGAATGAATGTGGGAAAGCACTCTTTCAAAATGAGGGGCAGAGGTTAAGATTGCCCCTATGGAACTGAAAAATAAAAATAAAGAAACAATTTAAATCCCCAAAATATCCTAGCATTGTTTCAAGACTTTTCTTAGCATATAACTCTTGATTGGCAGTGACTCCTTTTAGACCAACACATTCTGGTTAAACCCATACTGACAACCCTCTTTCTGCCTTGGGTTGAACGCAGGTCACACACTACTCAGGTTTTATGAAGAGGATGTCTTTAACAAGACTAACAGCATGCTAGCTTTTATCTTCACAATGACAATGTTAACATGATGATGCTTAGCGAGCGTATTACTTAGCTTAGCATGTTAGCATGTTGATGAGTATTGGACGGATTAAAATTTTTATCTGATGATAGCGATCCTCTGAAAAGTTGGGGATCGCCAATGTTATTACAATGCATCCTTAGGAGAACATGAATTTCTGTACCAAACTTCATGGCAATCTATTCAGTTGTAGAAATATTTCAGTCTGGACCAACTGGGTGACTGACAATGGCATCCCTAGAGCCTTCGCGCTAGTGTGGCTTAAAAAGCATTGAGTTGGAAACTTTCTGAAATGTTTAAACCCCACTTTATGATGGCAAACTGGAAGCGCCACTCAAATTTAAAAATGTTTTATGTTCTTTTACTCTTCTTACTTGTGTCTTTTTAAAAGGACCAGTGTGTAGGATTTAGTAGCATCTAGTGGTGCAGTTGCAGATTGCAACTAACTGAACACTGTCTGTATTTGACAACCTTGGAATGAGAAAGGGTGGTGAAGTGTGTAGGAACAACTACAGTGGCTCCGAAACCTGAGAAAAATGTGAAAAATCTACAGTCAGTGTCCAACATGGCGACCTCCATGGAAGGCGACCCACAGCATCCGTAGATAAAAACGGCCCATCCTAAGGTAACAAAAACATGATTCCTATAATCAGATGATACTATTGAAAACATACCTATGAATATCATGTTCCATTTCCAATAGACACTCCTAAATGTTACACACTGGACCTTAAAACTTCTTTATGTAAAGCCCCTTGAATTGCCTTTATGTATAAAATGTGCTATAGTTACCTTGCTGTGCCTT